CTTCAGCAGCAGAACTGATGCAGATGAAGATATCGCCCATGCAGACCTCCAAGACAAACCAGGTACCACCTCCTCCCTGTTTGCCCCTTCACAGGCTTACCACCATGACCAAGGACCACCTTCCAACCCCACCGGCTACCTGTGAGAGCGGCCTGGCTATGGCCACCTCACACATAAGCTGTGCCCAGCAGCCCAGCGCCCGCCCTGCACCCGTGTGCGGCTCTACCAGCCAGCAACCAGCACCTTGTGACGATGCAACAAGAAGAAAACTGATGCACATGAAGATGCTGCCCATGCAGACCTCCACAAGACACCAGGTACATCCTCCTCTCTCCCAAGCCCACTCCCTGTCTGTCCGCACACAGGCTTACCACCATGCCCAAGGACCACCTTCCAACCCCACCGGCGACCTGTGAGAGTAGCCCGGCTATGGCCACCTCAGACATAGTCTGCACCCAACAGCCCAGCGCCATGCTACCTGTGAGAGTAGCCCGGCTATGGCCACCTCACACATAGTCTCCACCCAACAGCCCAGCACCACGCGCCCGTGTGCACCTCAACCAGCCAGCGACCAGCGCCCTGCGAGTCTGCAACCATGCAGCACTCACGCATAGCCTCCAGCCAGCAAATGTCTGGACTGAAGGCTGGCACTTTCTTTCGTAGAAAGTGTCTGGCCTCGCGAGGCTGCCTGGCTGCTCGCATGGTTCCAAGTAGCCTTGCGTCCAGCCCCAGTACCTGCGCCCAGGCCCTGATTCAGATCCGGCCTAGGACCAAATTGGTTAGAGACGCCCAACTGTGCCACGTGGTTCTCGCTGGTTGCTGCTTCGCCATTGGCCAAGAGGCTCTGACAAGGAGTCCTAGGAGAGCTTGGCCTGAAATTTCGGGGGCCAGTCGCACATTCCCATGCCATCGCAGCCAGGCCGGCCAGGTTGAAAGAAAAAGGGCCCCGCAACAGTTTTCAGACCTGCGCTTCGACAGTGTGGGGACAGCTAGGCTTTGGGCCTCTGCCGAGGCTCCAGTCCTCACACAGAACCATACATTGCAACAATGCATCAAAGTCTACGAGGTCATTCTGTGGGTGCAAGGTTCACCCCATTTGCCTAATGGATCAGAGGCAACGACCAGCATATATCTATACAAAGAAAAAAAGACATAGCAAAAGGTGGGTTGAGGTGGGCGGTGGGTTCGGTGAGTGTTGGCTTAGGTCAAGGTGTGTTGCCCGGACATCAAAAGGCGACGTGTGCATTGCAGGGCAGAATAGCCAAGAGTCCCGATACCAAATTTATGTGCCTTTTAATTCCTCCCGCTGTTTCATCGACGCCTACCTACCAAAAAGCCAGTGCTTTCAAGCTAGTACTGAAGCCTTGTCCCCTTGCGCAGTCCCGCCTTATCTGGTCCACGCGAGTCGGCCACACATTGGGCCAACAAATACTCCAGTCTTCCCCCGAACACAATGCACCCTCCTTTTGCCTGTATCTGGCCGTAAATATAGCTTGTATAGATTCAGTTTTAGGGAGCGTTATGTTCGGGGGAAGACAGTAGTATATCTACAATCAACTTCGGTCTTCCGCTGCCGCTGGAGGCCTTTTTCTCGCCCGGCGCATGCGGACAACTCACCTATCGACCCCGGCCAAGTCCCACTAGCAGCGTTGAGCTACCTCAACGCCTGAATGTGGACGCTTTGCAGAGATGTGCAGAATTGGTGTTGAGTTTCCTGAACTGCACGTCTCCACAAACACGTCCAGATTCAGGCGTTGAGGTAGCTCAACGCTGCTAGTGGGACTTGGCCCCCTGCGCATTCGGAGGCTTATCGACCTCAGGGAGAAGTGGACTTCATGAGATCGACAAAAGCCGGGGGCGTGTATGTTAGAATCGGAAATGTCACTGTCGGTGGCGTGTATGTTAGAATCGGAAATGTGACTGTTTACACGGCACTTCCGTGAGGGCTCTGTTCAAGGTGCCACTTGGCGATATCTACGGCCAGCAGATGATCAATACCCTAACAGACAGAAGATGCAAAAAGACTTACGTGTATGCAGCTGCTTTCATCAATCTCGAGTCTGTTGACTGTGTTCCCTTGGTGCAAGGGTCTGTAAACACACAAGTCCTGTAGCTTCTGCATCCCACATAGCTGCCTGGTAACCCGAGGCCTATAACCGTCCAGCTACCCCCCTCCCTCCCACTCTGTGTTTGCTGCTTCTCTTGTCCCCTTTCCGATCTCTGCCGCTCCTGATTTGTCAAGCGTTTTGGGGAAGGGAACCCCAGCCGCTGTTTTTCTTGCAGTGAGAATACACCTAGACTCACCCAATCTCCATCCTCTCTCTCTCTCTCTCTCTCTCTCTCTCTCTCTCTCTCTCTCTCTCTCTCTCTCTCTCTCTCT